TTAGTAGAGACGGGGTTTCACCATCTTGGCCAGGCTGGTCTTGAACTCCTCACTTCATGATCCATCCACCTCGGCCTCCCAAAGTGCTAGGATTACAGGCGTGAGCCACCGCACCCAGCCTCTGCACTCTTACATTGGCTTCCCTTCTTTCCTGATTTACTCTCCCCAGTCACTTATTCCTGTTCCTTTGGATCCATTCCCAAATAAATCACATACACAAAAACTCTTGACTCAGGCTTTGCTTTCAGGAGGAAACCTGGGCTAAGACAGTCGACATAAAAGTGGTCCTAGAAGGCAGACCTGCAAGGAAGGGATTCACAGCTGTGATGGCTCTACTTTCTACAACGGAGTCATGGCCCTCATAGGAAACATATGGAACCCTGGAACACAGAATGGGAACATTTGAGTAGATTAATGTGAGAATTTTGAATTCCTGGATTCCCCTCAACCTTCAAGGCCAGTAGAAGCAGCTATCTTTCTCCTGCTATAGGAGACAAGCCTCTCCTTGCCTGGAATCCTGCCAAGACTCCTCCTAAGGCAAGTGGCCCCAAAGTGATGCTTATTCTCCTTGATATCCCCTACCTCCCTTCATTGTCTGCAGACCAATAACCAGGGTTAGGTCTCAGCACAGCCTAAGTGGAGAAATACGGTATCTGACTTATAAGCAAATAGCATACACACTGAAAAAATTACAGGACCTATGTTCTGGCAGGAACAGGGATAACAGGGGTATAAGGAGAGGGGTGTAAGAATGTATCAATCTGGGGGCACTCTCATTATTCAGGGATTAACATCCAAGCAAGGATACATAAAACCATTCTGACATGCTTCTGAGACACGTCTTTGAAACTTGGACACAATTACGACCTTCGGAAATGAAGTAGAGACGCCAGAACTTCCTTGGCAGAATACCGAAGGAGTCAGAAGGCTCAGAGGGATAAGCATGTTAGATTGTAGTTATTATGCAAGACCAGAGAACCTACTAGAAGACTACATTCCCATGGGAAGTCCAGAGGCCACTCTTTTCACTGAGGTAACACAACATGTAAAGGTGAGGAATCCTTAGTGTCAGTGGGGATGGTAGGACTCTGGAATTGCAGAGACCAGATGGATAACAATCAACAGAGGAAGGGTAGATATAATAATTACCATAAAACCAAATGGCAACCAGAATGCTTTCACCTATAGGGTCTATCTGTGGCAATAGCTAATAGACCATAGTGTCCCTAGGAGTTAACTAAATTGGCAGATGACTGGGTGTTACATGACTGTAACAACAGCAGTCCCCAAAATCAAGAGCTCGTGAGCAGAAGGCAGATGCCAGCTGCCATAATGGGAAATAGTATTTCCTCATAAATCTCCTCAATGTAGGCCAGTTCTCAGGCTCAGAGCCTATTGATTTAAGGAATGGTCAAGTCTTTTTATAGAAGAGCCCCCCAGTGCTGCCAAAAGTAGACAAGATAATTATTTCCCTAATCTTTCCACATGAGGGATCTGTGGCCTTTTATCAGAGTAACTCTGGTCAAGGAGAAGAAAAAGAACCAGACTTTCAAAGGTACAGAGTATGAGCTGGCATCAATGCTGGGGGGAAACACTATCATGGTCCCCCCATGATAGAGGCTCGTGAAAGCCAGGTAAATGGAGTACTCATGCAAACAGATCCAAGAAGTCTGAAGATCCACACTGTACTAATTTCCTTATCTCTAAGTAAATAACTGGGACAGATACTCTAGCAACTGGCAGTACCCTAACATTTACTCCCTATTTTATTAAGAGCCATTAAGGTAAGAAGGGCCAAATGAAAGCCCCTGACACTTACCCTGACCTTTCTTACTAATTTATTAAATGAGAAGTAAAACCACATCCTGGATGGCATTGCAGAGATTCATTTCAACATCAAATATTTTCTTCTTAATATCCTTCAGTCAGGAGGATGAAAAACTGTTTGCTTTTATGTGGGAATAATAGCAGTACATACTCACTCTCTTGCCTCTAGGCTATGTTAATTCTCCTCTCTGTCACAACACAGTATCTAGCAACTTTGATTGTCTCAATATTCCATTAAACATCATGGTAGTCCACTGTGTTGATGACCTAATGCTAATTTGACCTAGTAAGCAAGAAGAAGCAAGAACTCTAGATGTCCTAGTAAAGACATGTACATGCCAAAGGATAGAAGACAAAAATATGAAGATTCAGGGCATTCATATTGTTCAAATTTTTTCTTACCTTTTTGTTCTACAATAAGTTAAATGGATGTAAAAGTAGACAAACTAATAAAACGAATCCCTAGAACCACTATTCATAGCCCATATTATTTCATCTATATCCCCACCAACTTCTTCTATCCCATATTATTTTGAAACAAATGGGTAAAGTTATCAGGGATCAGTAGTCATACCAGGTTATCCCCTGTAAAGTAAAGGCAAGTTGTTGAGCTCTGTATCCTCCAACACTAAGGCATAGTGCTTGGTGGAGTATTCTTCTGACCCATCTATTGGGTGCCCCTGAAGGCTCTCAGTTTCAGGTGAAAACCAGAGCAGGAGAGAGCTGTACAGTGTGTCCAACTAGAGTACAAGCTTCTCTACCATTTGGTTCATATAATCCATCTGATACAATGGGGCTAGAGGCATACATGATGAATAAGGCTGCGGCGCAGAGTCTCTGACATGCCCTAATAAAAGAGTTTCAGCACAGATCTCTAAAGTTCTGGAGAAAGGCCATGCAGCAGAGAGTTATTTGACTTTTGAAAAACAGCTGTTTGGCCCCGATAAAAACCGAGAGCCTAGCAATGGGACATCAAGGGTCTATGCAATCAGAGATACCCATTGTAAGCCAGGAATTGTCAGAGTCTATCATGTCATAAGATTAGGCAGGTTTAAGCCAGACATGGTGGCTCACACCTGTAATCCCAGCACTTTGGGTGGAGGCTGAGGCCAGAGAATTACTTGAGCCCAGGAGCCTAGGAGCCCAGGAGGCAACACGGCAAAACCCCATCTCTAAAAAATACAGAAAAAAAAAAAAAAAATTAGCTGGGCGTGGTGGTGTTTGCCTATAGTCCCAGCAACCTGGGAGGCTGAAGTAGAAGGATCGCTTGAGCCTAGGGAGGTTGAGGCTGCAGTGAGCTGTGATCTTGCCACTGCACTCCAGCCTGGGTGACAGAGTGAGACCCTCTCAAAAAAACAACAACAAAAAAAACAAACAAACAAACAAAAAAAAAAACAGACTTATCAGCAATCCATCATATAATAGGAATGGTAAATTCAGGATCAGGACTAAGCAGGTCAATAGGGTGCATTTAAGTCAACAAAAGGTGGCTTAGACTCCTATGACACCTACCTCGGCTATCAGCTATATCAACCCTTCTGTCTTAGCTCAGACCTACAGCCTTAGTGGGTAGTTCTCTGTAACCAATTGATGAAGGGAAAAACAGCCCTGACTCACAGATGGATTAGCTTTAGACATTGATAGTAGTTAAAAAAAAAAAAAAATTGTTCCTCTAACATAGCTTCATTTAGTGGGTAGCCCTAAATAACTTTGAAGGGAAATTCCCCCAGTGAGCTAAGCTGTAAGCAGTATACCTATTCATTCATTTTGTATGGAGGACAAAACAATTCCACATAAAGGTTTACATACACTTGTGAGCAATGGCAAATAGTTGAGTGGTATCTGTTCAGCACTCACGTATGTACAACCTGGAAGTGCAAGGAGTTGACCAATGGAGACAGAACTAGGAAACAAATACCTCCTCATTCTATATGGCTCTTTAGAAGTCCCCAGTGGGATTAAACCTCAGTAACCCATAGCAATGCGGATTGAGACAAGGCTGAGGGGAGGAAAAAGAGCAAGGCACTTGTCTCTGGTGCAAATTTAAGGAGGCACCAAGAAATTCAGTAACCAAGATTAATTATACTTCAATATTTTTTAAAATAGAAATTAATGCAAATACCCATGATGAACACAATATCAAAATTTTAAGTAAAGACAGGCTCAGTATTGCTAATTTTCCCTTTATTCTTAGGCTCCACTAGGGCTTCACACAGCACTCTTACTGATCCTGGTCATCACCAATAACCATCTCAATTTCAGTCTATGTGGGCTTTACCTCCCTCCCTGTTCACTCTCCTCCCTAGTCCCTCGCTTCGTTTTATGGTATCACTACTCAAAATAAACGACCTTATGTAAGTTCTTGTCTCCAACTTTGCTCTATTATTTGGGGTAGAGTAGGGAGATGAAACTCCAAGCTAAGTAAGATAATGACCATAATATATCATTCGAAGAAGGATACTTGTGAAAATACAGGAGGCTCTATTAATAATTTCACTGGATTAATAGGCATAAATCAGAGCTGTCCTAGCACATCAGGATGTATAGTCTTATTACAGGTAGGAAACTGAGGTTCCAAGGGGGTGGGAAGTCCTCCTAAGAGGAGGGGTCAGAGTGGAAGCTACACAAAAAGAGGCAGAAATGTCCCTCCGCCTCTTAATCGGGGCCTGGAGAAACAAACATACTTGTGCAAAATCTCCGAGAGGTGAGCTCTTCACCCTGTCAGTTTTATCTGCCTCGTGAACCCCAGGGCTCAGGCTCCAGCCTCGGGCTAGCTCACACAACAGCAGACGGGCCTTAGGTCTGGGCACTGAGCAAAAAAAAAAAAAAAAAAAAAGGGAGGCCGTGGTCCCTGCTTTGGTTACCCTGCTGGGTCTGAGCGCCAAATCGGATCTCCTCCTTCTCTTTCCCTCCCTCCCTCCCTCTCTGTTCCTGGACTGGGGCCAGGCCCTTCTGCAAACAAAAGCCTTCCAGTCGGAGAAAGCTCTGGCAACCTGACAAGATAAAGCGCCCTGGGGGCGTGAGGAGAGCAAGGGCTCAAAATCAGAACCCAGCGTGATGACAGTGCCTCCATGACTGTGCTCCCGCAATGGGCAGGCTCCATGTCCTGGCGCCCGCCCGCCCATGGACCCGGCGAGGGATTCCAGGCTGGGCTCAGCCATTCCGCCGGCGTGCGGGGGAGGAAACTCGCCTCCCGGGCACTCGGTTTTCTCCTGCCCCCGCCCTCCCTCCAGTCCGGGCCCATCTCTGACGTAGTGTGACCTTGCTCATCCCTTCCAGGCTGTGGGCCTGTTTTCCCTGTGCAAGGCGAGGGTCCTGGCTGTCCGGGCGCCGCCAGGGTTGACCGAATTGAGCTCTCCTAGGACTCGTGGGAAATGAGCTCCCTGTCGGCGTGTGCCAGCTGCCTGCGCCGGGCGCCACAGAACAGGGCGCGCTCCTGCAGCTCCGCCGCCCGCAGAAGTTTCCCGGGAACCGACTCCACCGACTCGCCCCTCCGCGCCCCCCGCGTGGCCGCCTAAGCTCAGCCTCCAGATTAGAGGAGACCGCGGAGGGAACCCTGCCGGAGTCTGGGCCCGGGGTGACGCGACCCCAGCAGGTTGAGGGCCGACCTCTCCGAGACCTTGCTCTCCGGCCTCGGCTCCTCGCTTGCGCCCGCCCTCCCACGTGGGGCCCAGGTCTGGGAATCAGCGCTCCGGGGTGGCTGAGGACAACCGAGAGCGAGCTTCTCACCCGGCACGCGGGCGGAATGGCTGAGCCCAGCGTGGAAGTCCCCGTCAGGTCCTTGAGGGCGGGCGGGCGCGCAGAGCACTGGGCGGAGACAGCCGGGAGTCCAGCCCCTTCCCAGCGCCCTCCCCTTCCCAGTGCCAGGCCAGGGATGGGGGTGTGGTCCCAAGTATACATTGGCATCAAGCTCCGCTCCCGGAACGCTCCAGCGCCCTCAGCCTGTTTCCCAGGACCGGTCCCCGGCTGCGCACCCCAATTTCCAACAGCCTGCCTGTCCCCGGGAACGTTCTGACATCCTTGGGGAGCCCCCAGCTACGCGACACTGCCCCGAGAACGCTCTCATCACCCGTAGTTGCAAATTTCGGAGCGGCAGTGGGAAGGATGCGGGACTACGACGAGGCGATCGCCTTCCTGGGCGAGTGGGGACCCTTCCAGCGGCTCATCTTCTTCCTGCTCAGCGCCAGCATCATCCCCAATGGCTTCAATGGTATGTCAGTCGTGTTCCTGGCGGGGACCCCAGAGCACCGCTGCCGGGTGCCTGACGCCGCGAACCTGAGCAGCGCCTGGCGCAACAACAGTGTCCCGCTGCGGCTGCGGGACGGCCGCGAGGTGCTCCACAGCTGCCGCCGCTACCGGCTCGCCACCATCGCCAACTTCTCGGCGCTCGGGCTAGAGCCGGGGCGCGACGTGGACCTGGGACAGCTGGAGCTGGAGAGCTGCCTGGATGGCTGGGAGTTCAGCCAAGACGTCTACTGGTCCACCGTCGTGACTGAGGTGGGTGCCAGGCCGAGACCGGGGACCCGGGAGTGCCTGACCCTCCCTCTGCGTCAGCCCCCCTTGAGACTCCCTGCGCACTGCCCGGGTCAGCGCTCCCCTCCCCTTCAAACCTGCTGTTCATACTTCCAGCAGCGGGTGTGCACCCCAAGAAAGAATAGGACTCACATGAGGCGCATTCCTGGGTCGTTTCTGTCCAATAAGGAGGTGATGGAGAAGGGAGTTTGTCACCAACTGTCTTTTCATTTCCGATTTTCACAACAAATGAAGTTCCCCAAGAACCTAGATGTGGCCTTGGGGGAAGCGCAGCCCCAGGCTACCCAGACGCACTACTTGAGTCACCTTCCTGCCAGGCATGGGAGGAGGGGTGTGAGGGACCTTGTTACTGGGCAGGGCGGGGCCAAATCTTGTCTGTTCATTGGCCACAGACTTCTGGAGGCATCAGGAGGTGTACTGCTGTACCACATACTTGGAGGTTTGGGGTCCTGTCCTGAGGCCCCAGTTTCTCTAAGACAGCAGATGACCTCCCGAGGCTCATTGGGTGCAAGGAAACAGAGAAGGCAAAACCCCAGCTGGAAGCCCTGGCACTCAGGGACCTCTCTGAGCACAGGGTCAGTTGGCAGGCAGGGCCTGTAGCCCCTCAGTACCCTGCGTGGTTAGTGGCAGGTTTTCCAAGCTCCAGGAATGAGGATGCACACACACTTCCCTGTTTTTCCTGCTTCACATCTGGTAAGGACCTGGGTCCAGGAAACACCTTCCTCCTGAGGAGAGCATCCTCATGGAGCCATTGCCTGCTATTGGTCAGGCAGGCAGGATTTCCCTGCTGCTAAGTCCCTCCTCCGCCTTGTGCTCCTCCCAAGAAAAACCTGAGTGGCCTCTGCTAGTCCCTTATCCCTTTCCCTCAGCACAGTATAGCAGTCATCAGACATTGTGTCTGGCCTTGTGCTGGGCACTAAGGTGTGGATATCTGGGGTGTGGAGCCTGCCTTCAGATGCCCATGGGGCACACTGGCTGTGTTACTGAGAAGGCTAACATTAACCCTGGTTAGCAATAGGGTTCTAGAACCCAAATTCAAGTCCTGCCTTGCTTGCTATATGACCTGGGATAAATAAATCACCCTCTCTGTGGGACAATAAGCAGAGGAAATACTCTAAGAAGGGGTGATACGATTTTAGCTGAGTCCGAAAATGTGAGCAAGGCCTGTCTAGGCAAGAACATGGGAAATTCAGGGAATGGAATTCTCATACATCAGAGTGGCTGGAACTCCACGGATGACAGATACGACAGATAAGACTAGAAATGGCCACAGGGGCTAGTTCATAGTGGCCTTCTACATATACTGAAGAGCTGACTTTATTCGGAGGACAGTGAGGAAATAGTAAGCATTCTAAGGCTAGGTTTCTGCTTTTGGAAAGAGCTCACTCTAGCTGCTATGACAAACAAGACCAGTGAGGACGTTGTGAAACTCTCCTCTGCAAGAGAATGGTGGCCAGCCAGGCGTGGTGGCTGTGGAATCTGTGATACCTGTGGGAAGTGGGCTCAGCCCAGGGACTGCCTTTGGACCCCCCAGCACTGGCACCATACCTACTCTGGGCCCTAAGGTGGCCATGCCTCTCTGGCTTTGCTTCCCTAGCAAGGGCTGTAGTGCTTGCCCACTCCCTGCCCACAGCATGGCCTGGGAGCAGCTAAGACTGGGGCCAGCCCATCCCACGTCGATTCCTGAAAGTGTTATCAGTGCCTGTTATGGAGGCTGGGCCCACAAGCGGCAGCCTTCCCTGGCAGCTGGGCTGACCTGTCTGCTTTTCCATTGCTCACTGGTTTTGTTCACTGTAGGGTGTGAGGGGTGGGTATCTGCTGGCCTCCAAGTCCATAGCTACCCATGTTGTGCCCTGTTCACAGGGACCTCTAAGGATGTACATCATCACACATTCACACGCATGCACCAGGATTTGCTTTTTTCGGCAGCCTTTCCCCTTCCTGGCTTCCTTTTTGAGTGGTGGGAGTAAAATAAAAAGCAACTAGGGGGCGGGTGCAGTGGCTTATACCTGTAATCCCAGTATTTTGGGAGGCCGAGATGAGCAGATTACTTGAGGTCAGGAGTTTGAGACTAGCCTGGCCAACATGGTGAAATCCTGTCTCTACTAAAAATACAAAAATTAGCTGGGAGTGGTGGTGCACCCCTGTAGTCCCAGCTACTTGGGAGGCTGAGGCAGGAGAATCACTTGAACCTGGGAGGCAGAGGTTGCAGTGAGCTGAGATCGCACCACAGCACTCCAGCCTGGGTGACAGAGCCAGACTCTGTCAAAAAAAAAAAAAAAAAAAAACTGGGCTCTGTGGGCTCTGGTGGTTGGGAGGAGGAGGGAAGGTAGCAAGTACCAGGGTGAGCAGGATGGATGAATGGCTCTGCCCAGAGGAGCGGCGGCACACAGAGTTCTGGAGTCAGACTCAATAGAGGGCCAGTTTTGACTCCACTGCCAACCACCTGGCTGACTCCAGGCAGGTTACTTCACTGATGAAAACCTCAGTTTCCATGTCTATAAATCAGGGGTACAAGCAGATGAAAAGAGGCTCAACATCACTCATTGCTATAGGGAAATGCAAATGAAAACCATAATGAGGTACCACTTTGTACCCTTAAAGATAGCTACTACAAAACAAACAAACAAACAAAAAGAAAAAAAAAAAACACCAGAAATCCACTTTGGGAAGCCAAGGCAGGAGGATTGCTTGAGGCCAGGAGTTCAAGACAGCCCTGGGCAACATAGCAAGACCCCATCTCTAAAAAAAAATAAAAATAAAAATTAGCCAGGCATGAGGGCATGCGACTGTAGTTCTAGCTTCTCAGGAGGCTGGGGCAGGAGGATCACCTGGGCCCAAGAGTTCGAGGTTGCAGTGAGCTATGACCATGCCTCTGCACTCCAGCCTGGGTGACCCCACCTCTAAAAAAGTGTTGTTGTTGTTGTTTTTTTTAAACACAGAAAATAACAAGTGTTAGTGAGGATGTAGAGAAATTGGAACCCTTGTTCATTCCTAGTGGGAGTGTAAAATGGTGCAGCCACTACGGAAAATAATATGGTGGTCCCTAAAAAAATTAAAAATTAAAAAACTAATTCTGGATATATGTCCAAAATAATGGAAACAGGGCCTCAAAGAGACATTTGCGCACCATGTCTATGGTAGCATTATTCACAATAGTCAAAAGGTGAAAGCAACCCAAGTGTCCTTCCACAGACAAATGGATAAACGTAATGTGGTATATGTGCACAAAGGACAATTATTCAGCTTTAAAAAGGAAGGAAATTCCGATACATGCTACAACATGGATGAACCTTGAGGAGACTACACTTAGTGAAATAAGCCAGTCACAAGACAAACTATTGTCTGATTTCACTTCAAGAGCAGTCACACTCACAGAAACAGAAAGTAAATGGTGGTTGCCAGGGACTGGAAGAAGGAAGGAGTAGGGAGTTGTTTCATGGGTATAGAGTTTCAGTTTTGTAAGATGAAAATAGTGTTGGAGATTGATTGCACAACAGTGTGAACGCTTCTGAACTGTACACTTAAAAATGGCTAAGATGGTATATTGTATATTATGTGTACTTTATCTCAGTTTTCAAAACGGGGATAATAAGAGAAGCCGCCTTATCTGAGTTGTTGGGAGGACTCAGTGAGAGAATGCCCCACGCCCCATCTGGCGGTGGCCAGCACAGAATGTGGCACCAGCAAATGGGCTTCCTAGGTGGGTGGTAAGGAGTGGTAAGGGCAGGACCTCAGCACCCTCTTTGCCTTCTGCACTAGCTGGGCACAGTGGGCATGGAGGGAGCTGTTCTAAAGTCCAGGTTGTGGCCTCTGTAACAGGTGATGGGACTTGCTGGAGGCCGAGCCCCTCTCCCCACAGTGGCAGTTCCAAGGCTCAGAGAACAGAACACAAGTCCAAACCCATACTGACTTGGCCAGTGCCAGTGGACAGGGCCAAGCCCAGGGGCCCTGAGCAGGTTCTCTGCATCCCAATTGGCACAACACAGGTAGTGGGACTGTCCTCAGATTGTGTCTCTGCCTTCCACCGCCGTGCCAGGATCTCCCAATGGGCATATCCTTAGGGACAGACAAGTCTGCCTGAACTGTCCCCCAACACCTCTTCACAGGAGGACAGGGTTAGCCAGGAACCAAGGATGGCATGCTCTGCTGTAGAAATGCCTTTCATAGTGTGCCAGGAGGTAGCAATAAGGTGTCTGAGTTGGGGTTTGCATGAGTGCATTCGTCTGTGTGTGTGCATGTGTATAAGGTAGTTTCCTTCTTCAGGGGTTGATTGTGAAGTCCAAGTTTTTCATCCTGTGCAGTTACTAAGAGTCAAATTATTATTATTATTATTTTTTTTTTTTTAGATGAGTTTCGTTCTTGTTGCCCACGGTGGAGGAGTGCAATGGTGCCGTCTTGGCTCACTGCAACCTTTGCCTCCCGGGTTCAAGCAATTCTCCTGCCTCAGCCTCCCAAGTAGCTGGGATTACAGGGGCCCACCACCATGCCCGGCTAGTTCTTTGTTTGTTTGTTTGTTTGATTGATTTTGTATTTTTAGTAGAGATGGGGTTTCACCATGTTGGCCAGGCTGGTCTCTAACTCCTGACCTAAGGCGATCCACCCACCTCGGCCTCCCAAAGTGCTGGGATTACAGGCGTGAGCCACCGCACCTGGCCATTATTTTTTAGCTTTATTTTGCAATAACTTTAGATTTAGAGAGAAGTTTGAAAATAGTACAGAGATTTCATATATACCCTTTATCCAGCTTGCTCTGATGTTAACAATTTAAATACACATTATGCATTTATCCAAACCAGGAAATGAACATTGGTTACAATAGTAATAACTGGACTATAGACTTTGTTTGAATTTCACCAGTTTTTCTACTACTGCCCTTTTTCTATTGTAGGATCCCATCCAAAATCCCATGTTGTATTTAGTTGTCATGTCTCAGTCTCCAATCTGTGACTGTTCCTCAGTCT